GCTAGAAGGCCCGGTAGCTCAAAACTTTCGGCTCGCTGATGTAGTGTTTGAAGTAGTCTGATGGTTTGCGCTACTCCGGGTAGTGTCCGCCCATTGAGACGCAACTAAACGCGAAAGACCATAGTGGTTCAGGTGGTTTAATCACTCTAGCCCAACTACATATATCATGGTCATGCAAAATGTCTTACTTTGCGCAAATCCTCGGGGTGCACCCTCATCAGTATGGCATACCGTCGAGAAGACTACACTCCCAGTTGTTGCAGTCGCTTCGTCTTTTGATCCATGTCAACAGTACCTGCAGGGAAAGCTCCAGGCTAAGTCATATCCATTAGCAAAGAACCATGGGGATAAGGGCTTCACGGATGCTAGGCCAAGGCTGTCAGAGATAAGTGGGATAAATGCAGAATCCTTCGAATCCAGAGTATGAGAGCTTTTCTGGAGCTGTTTGGAAAGGATGTTCCCATGGCTTTCCTGCAATTGACGGGGGGATTCCCGTCTCGTAGAATCCTCTACATAGAAACTTATACTGTTACGTGGAGATTCCCATGGAAAGAACCAAAGGAGATCCTAGACAGCTTTACCTTTTTAAATGGAAATTCCCATAGAGATCTTATCATTTGGGCCTTGCACTGTTTGGGGCTTATGTCGGAATAATTTCGTGCGAGCAGGAAGGAGACAATCAGGGGGAAGTCATTTGTAAATGATGATCGGCGCTGCCTGGAGCAGTTGGATGGCAGCGGCTGTGGTAGTGGTGGCAGAGGAAACTGCATGGTCCATGTAAACATGCGGCTGAACATGCCAAGGCTGCAACGTCTTTACCAAAGGTTGTGCAACAACTTCACACTATCGGCCTTGCTGTGAGTTGTGCACCTAGGGTAAACAGGCACATGCGGCACATGCGTAGAAGATATAGAATTGCCGAGCTTTCGAATTCTCCGTGCACTTGCATTCACAAAGGACACGGCCAATTTAAAAACATGTGCATGCAGGCTTCCATCGAAACCATCAGTAGGGGCATATAGGTAAGCTTGTTTGGTGTTATCAGACCAAGGTTACCCAAACCTGACATCAGTTCGCGAACTGATGTGCAGTGGTAATTCCGAAACCATGCAGTTCCGTAACTTGTCTTGAGCTGGTGTCAGGCTTGCCGCTTGTCCAGCAAAGATTCAGACGGAGTACGCAGCATGCAGCCCTCGTGAGGTGCCATGTGGCTCGTGGCCATCTGTCACCTTATGGGTGGACTCTTCTGACCATATATTACTTACAGGCCCGATGCTGAGTCTGGGATGGCGCATGTCATTTCTATTTCGATAATTGCTTTTTGCTGCCACTGGTGCACACATGCTGGTGAACTGCTTCGGAAACTGGCGAACGGCCGGTTGGGATGAGATGCCAGTGAAGTGGGCTACGAGTGTGGGTAAGATCTGCCGATGGGCTGTGGAGAGTGACCAGATTATCATATTATCATCAGATGAGAGGTTGGCCTCAGAGTGGGCTGTGCCCATGATGTTCGTGAGGATGCTGTCAGTAGCGCAGCTTGTCCACTTACGTGCCCGACAGAGCGTGTTCCAAGGTGAAAGCCGTGATGCTCCCACCGCTTAGTGCTGTGATGCTCGGCAAGTTTCATCACCTGCTGTGTTTTTCGTATCGAGAGTCCCGGCTTGCCTGGATTGATACGGCTTTAGTCTTTCCACGGTAGCTAGCCGAGGAGAAGTGGAGCAGACTATGTGGTCAAGCTCTCAGCCACAGCAAACCAGCACGATAGGAGCCTGAAAGATGTCATGTTTGTACGCACAGCCGTTTGCCCCGAATGGAAGTCTGCGCTCCCCGAACCAGAGAATGTATTGAAGTCTGCCAGAATACTTCGACGCAGGTGAAACCAACAGCAGATCCCAACAGCACTCAAGGCCAGCCAGGCCAAGTGCAATCTTGCATTATGAGCTTTCCGCATTCTCTGCATCGCGGCCGTGCATTCAAATCCTGTTCGAGTTTCAGTTGTCTTGGAGGTGAAGGTGAGGAAGGCTCCAACCTGACTGTTGGAGACTTGTTCTTCGGCTTTATAGGCCTGGCTCTGGTAGCTGCGCGTAGAATCGAAATCCAAATTGACACATTCCACAGTGCTGTTAAAGCCAGGCCAGAAGAAATTGGTAGAAATGGCCTTAGAACAGATCAATGCCTGCAAAATTGGCCCAACGACTGGCACGAAGGATGGAAATCAGGAGTTGCAGGTATGAACTTGTCAAATCCAAGTGCTTGTTTCAAGAACCTTGAATTCCAGCAAGCACCTTGTAACTATCGAGTGGGCAGCAAGTGGTTTTCCACGAGCTCATCAACTCTGAAGTTGGGGAGGTAAGCGATTTACTGGCATTGGCATGGTACGGACCGGTAGGCTGTGCCTGTTGCAATGGGGAGGCGGGAATGGCGTGAGCTCCTAGAAGACAGTCTAGTGCATATCAGGCTAGGTATGGAAATCAAATGGCCGATGTCCAGCAAGCTTTTCACTGTGGTGTTCACAGATTGTTAACCTGGGGCGGTAAAATGACCCCGCGCCTCTTCGTTTAGAACGGGTGGGCCCCTTAAGTTTTGTCCCTTTCACAAAAAGCTTTCACCGATAACCGGAGGAAAATTGCCGATAACGGCTTTTCTGGAGTATACCCCTGTCAGAGGAAATTTACCGATAACAATTTTAAGGATACAAAGCTTGGGAACGTTTTTTTTTTGACTGCCCCACCTGGCCATCAAGACATACATGCTTGCACACGCCTTCTTGATTGGTTGAAAGAGCTCCGCGGCTCCCGTATCATGATTGGCGAAATATTTCCGCTGAGCCCTGGTGCAGTTGTGAGATGCATGCTCGATTGGCCTGGCCAGGTTTCTATGAGCATGAAATCGACCTACAATGTGAGGCAGAGCAGTTTCCGTAAAGAACACGCAAGGCTAAGTTTTGATTTAGCCGGGCCAGCCTTTGAGGCTGTGTCTCTGCGCCACGGCCAGAGGCAAGCCAGCTCACAGCCGGAGCCGGAACCTTATGACGAATCCATCGGGGCTCAAATGAGCCGCTCGCCAATATCGCCACTGCTCAGGGTAGCAGATAATTCCGAAAGTGCTGATCTGGGCGTGCATGTTGAGGACTCCTTGGCCAGGGATCTCTCTGAATGTCTGTCGTGACAGTTTTGGCGAGGACCCGTTTGATCCTGAGAGAAATTGTGGAGCAAGCCTCAGTAGAGAGGCTGGGTCAGGCAGTCTCATTTGCACCGCGAGCAAGACGTCTTTGCGATGCCAGGGGCTTCAGAGACTCAAGGAAGAACTCGCCAGAGCTCAGCTTATCTTGTCAGCAAAGGAGGAGGCCGTTGTCTTGATGAATGTTCGCTCTTGCAACAGAAATGGAGGCATAGCTTGTGTAGTGCTGTGGCATAGGCTTCTTTGTCCGAAGTGCTTCAACCTTGGGCAGCCTTCTGAGCTATCCGCGCAGCGGGCGCAATTACCGCTTCAACGTTTGACAGAGACCCTCAGGCGCCTCCTGAAAGACATGCAACTATGGCGGCAGAGGACATGGAAGTGTACGGGCAACGGTTTGTATATTTTGACTGAATCAACATGCATCTGCTACTCCTGCGAGGATATTCTCACATCTGTGAGTTAGATTTATAACTGGCCAGCGCAATTCGGTTTGATTCGGCTCCAAATTCAAGAGCCCTCAACCCCTGCAGGTTTTTCCCTGACCAGTTTCCAAATTGAGAGGTGCAGTGGTTGCGCCAGTTCGTCCTAATGGGCCACAGCTAGACATGCGGCTTTTCTCGTGTGTCCTCTGGTCATAGGGAAATCTATGCAGTGGTAGGGCTTCTGGCACGGCTTTGTACAGATTTCGAGCTGCAAATCGTCAATTGTTTAAGCTGCTGGTTGTTGAACTCGCTAGCCTTTGATCGAGTGGATGGGGTGTGGGCTGCAGAAAGATATCCGAGTGCATTTCATAGACCTTCCTGCATTGCCAGCAACTTGCCATATCACGAGAAATGTGGCTGACTGAAGGCTGCCCGCTTCCCAGTTTTTCTCTTCAAAGGCATTGAAGGCTTTTCAGCTATCGCCGACGCCTCAATGACATATCTCAGGAGTGCAGTAGCCATGACGTGGCGAATCTCGTAGGTCAAGAATCAAGACACGTAAGACTGTAAGACCCAAGCCCCCCCACACGGCCCGCACAAGATTCTCCGTCGACAGCATGTTACCGTCTTGAGTGCAACAACAATCTGCTGAAGAGCAGAAGAGCATCTGTAAGGGTAAGGAAGAAAGAGCAGTGCCTCCAGTGGTAGGGTGAAACGAAACAGCTGCAGAAAACTTTGAACATCATACTTACTCTCTGTCGCCTCCATGGCTGCAGACGGGACTGGCCCCAACGGATCGTGCAGCTTTCTCAGAAGACAGTCCAGATGTACAATTCCCAACATCAATCGAACCCATTGACCGAGGTGATGGTGCGACGAGTGAGGCTGCGTCTAGACGAACCCTTGTGTGAACAACACGAGTCTGCGCTGGCCACCTGCATCCAGGCAGTGGCTGCGCTCTCCAAACAGCTTGGCGCGCCTGCAGTGTCTAATTGGTTTTCTCTGCATTGGCAATTTGTGCACTTGATCGGCTGCACCATTTTGATGCAGGTATCGAAGCAGGTGCCGTCGAGAGAATCTTCCATGCAGGCCGGTCTTCCCAAGGTTCTCCAAGCTTGACAGGGAGATCAGAAAGATCGCCACCTTACAGGCATATGCCACGCTGAATCTGCAATGAAGCGACGTCGAATCGGCATGAGGCCTAGGGTACACAACAGTGCAAATCTCAATTAAGTCGCGTTATTTGCAACCTGACCTGGTGGTCTGCGAGTATGCCGGAGCTTGGGCAATATTTTGGCGCGAATGCTCCACAATTGGTGATGGCATGCTTTGCTGTGCAACACAAGCAGTTCTCGACCCCACACATCCATGGCAGCATGTGCGGACCACACCTTGCCAACAGGATCACAAGTTGAAGCATGCAGAAGCTTTGGCACGCTGTTGCTTTCATTTTTTTTCCGCAAATGTATCGGTGCCTGTACTTGTCCCTTCTGCCATCTTCGACTTCGGATGTCGCCTTTCCCATTCGTGTCTATGCTAGAGCATTTTATGCGGATATCCTCTGAGCACAGAGTAGTTTCTCTGTTGATGAAATTTTAGGGTCTTGCTTGGTGTACAGTACCTCAGAAGAAAATGACAAGCTCTCAAAGTTGAAGCGGCATACAACCACTTGGTTCTTGCGTTAAGCTGTGGTTGCCTGTGTTACGTCGTTGCCGTCGCCTCTTCTGTTCCATGTGACGTGGCCATCGAGGCGTGAGGCTGTTGTACGCGCTTTTTTCAGGTTAACTTCCATGTTCGCATCTAAGGCGGCCAGGTGCAGGGCTCGAAGTGGCCCATTTTCATGATAAGCCTTCTTTTCTGAACACTTCTGTTGCTAGGTTTTTATTTTTCATCTCATGAATTTTGCACCAACATCCTCTAGCTTTGCGGAGATCCTCGGAGCAGCTCAGAGCGGCCCTAGCAAGGTGCTTGAGAAATGGGACCGGGCCAGGTGGAAGCACAGGTTCCTTTGTGGATTTGCAGACTGTAGTGTTCTTCTGTGGGGTTGGGAAACACCTAGTGGCTTCTTGCCATGGAAAAATTGGTGAATAGTTTTGCTATGTTTTGCTGGAAAGTCAGCGCATTAGAGGTCCAGAAAAGGTGTTGCACAAGCGGTATTCGCAGGAACGAGAGGCAGGCAAGGTGAATAACGGTGATATGTGTGGATGCACTGGTTGTGCCCAAGGCTGTTCCGCACCTTTCCCCCCGTCTGGATGGGATCTTGGGGCGAAGTCATGTGGGAGTATCTCAACATTTATTAGGGGATGGCTGCATCGCTGGAACGAGCATAGATTGCCGGATGTAACGGCTGTCGCCACATGCCACCAACCTCTGATAGCCCGTCATGCATTTGCTGTGTGAGGAGGCCGCCTGGTTGCTTCAGATGTCGAAAGTGCGGATGGCAGAAAGTTGGTTTCGGAAGAGGGGCATTCCCATCATCAAGGAGTGGCCAGTCCCGGAGGAGGAGGAGGAGGAGGAGGGAGGAGGTTCGCGAGCAATGAAGTTCTTTGGGTAATGGTGCAGGGGCCAGGGGAGGTGCCAGGGCGATCGTGCTGCACCCACCCCCAGATCAAGTTTTCAAACTCGTCCCAAACGGAGAGCCAGAGCGCAGATTCCTCTGCTTGGGCAGTTCCACGTTGACCATCATTCTAGGCGAAAAATCCGACTCCAAGGATGCGAGGACCGAGCCAGCTGCCCAGTGCAGCATGGAAAGGAAGCAGCATCGCAGCGTGTGACGATGTGTTGATACAGGCCTACGCAGCAGGAGGTGCAAATTTGAAGCCCAATGCAGAACTGGATCTTCTTCCTTGCTGCTTGAGCCTCTTGTCCAACATGTCCAGCGATGTCCAGCGGTCGTGAGGCGACTGCGGAGCCCAAGTTCAGTGAAGGCGCCGCATGCACCTGTTGCTTCGACATGCTTTGCCATATTTGGCCTTACAGCTGCCACCTCTTATTGACATGACAGGAACAAGCTTCGGTAAGTCCAGCATCTCAAAGCAAGGGGCGCATTGTCAAGTTTGTTTGAGTGAGCTTGGGTGTCCACCTTCCCATCTACAAACAGCAGTCCGGTACCCTCTAACACGTTGCACCAAGCTAGCTCCAGGTTCAGAGGGCTGTGACCTAGCTTTGTAGGCTTCGGTGCTCATGATGTGTTTGATGGTCGGGGCTCGAAATCGCAACATGGCAACCTGGTCGCTTGCTGAGCCCCTATGGCAGCTGAACGAATCTATTCTGAGGCAAACTCTCCCAAGGACAACTGTGATTTTGCGTGGTCTTGCTGAAAAGAAAAGACGTCGCAAGCCAACCGGAAAGCTGTAAACGTCGGTGACATATTGAGGTAAGATCTGTGGTTTTACTGGCAAACAAATGAGAGATCAGCGGATTACAAGCATCCATAATTTGTCGACATGGGAGTCCTGCAGGCATCTCCTTGGAGCAGCTTCGACTGGAGTTGGCAGACTTTGCTCGCGACCGAGATTGGGATTGGCCCTCAGCCATCGTTCATATTGTTTTCTGCAACCCTCGGAGTCGTGATGCTCCCTTTCGCTTCCCGTACCACTTCGCGCAATACCTTCAATGGACGAGATCTCATTACCTTGAGCTTGATGCTCAAGGGCCATCGTTGCTGATAGCGGCTGGAGCTGTGGTTGACAGATCTGCGCAGGATCAGTTTCATTCACCTCGAAATCTGGCGCTCGCCCTTGTTGGAGAGGCCCTTGGGAAAGATATATGTTTGTTGCTTATCTTCGCAATGCTTGTGCCACGATTTCGAGGTGCAGCCGGCGTTAGCTTGCCACGGGGTAGAGACACTGCTTGCATGCAACCTGCATAAAACTGTTTTGGAGTGGTGGTCCTTTCTAGACATCCACAGCCATGTGCGCAGGTAGGGGAGTTGTGCGAATGCTTCCAGTGGAAGGGTGAGGCAGGCAGCTGGTTTCGACAAGAACATGTAATCAGCTCTGTTGGCCCTATTCAGAATTCTTCACCATATTGCTCAAGCTGTGAGTTTTCCTGTGAGCAGCTCTGTTCAAGCGGGCCGCGGGTTCCTACAACCCAAGCAGTGTAGACAAATATGAGCATGAAGATGTTGTGGAGCAGGTTGCCGAAGGTCTTCCCGGATGGAGTGAAAAGCACCGCACTGCCGTCCGCCAGGACGATCACCTACAGATTTCTAGCGAAGTTCGCTCCAAATAGAACTGCCTTAATCGTTGGTTTAAGCAAAGCATGCATCTGACGAAGCCTGAACTTTGGATTCTCAATGAATGCGTTGCGTTTTTTTATATCCTGCCGTCTTTAAGAGCAAGATGATTTGGGATCAACCGACAGCAACAGGAATTTGAATTAGGCGCCACAACAGATCTTGCTATACTTACCGTACGTGAGGCCTCCCAGCCCCGCTAGCCTGCCCATGTAACACACAACCATGTGCACCAGCCAGTTCAGGTCAACTCTCTCAGGTCTCATTCAAACCGTTGAACATGTGTCTTCAGTGCATATGTACAGGATTGGATAAGCGCAAAAGCGAAAGCAAACGAAACAAAAGATGAAGATCGACAAAGATTGGGAGGGATGGGCTGGCGCCCAGCCTCGAGACGCGTTACCAAATCCCTTCTTTCATTCATTTTTTGTTTGCCTTTTTCGGGTCCGGACCTCTCGGATTGAAAGGCTGCGCTGTCTACGCACCTTTGTGTTTTGTGCAACCTAGTCGTTCGGCTTTTTGACAAAAGCTTGTGGTACTTGTGGTGCTTTCACAAATCAGTTCTTTTTTATGTAGGAGATCTGGCCTCAAATTCAGCCTCCCTGCCTTTTGCCAGCCAGGAAGCCCCTCCCGATTGCTTTTGCTTTTCTAGGGCGGCCTCATTTCCAGAACAACAACAGGCATTTTACAATTGGAATATTGGTAAACAAACGCAAATCGTTCATTGTAAACCGTTTGCCGAATTCTTGACATATTCACAACTTCTGATCCTGTAGATTTCTCAGAAGTGTTTGTTTCTTGTTG